GGACACAACTGGACGTCGGGAGGATTGTGTGGAAGAGACCCAAAGAGTTGGTCGACATTCCGAACCTCATCTACAGAGAGAAGTTAGGACCGGCACAAGAGGTGGAGTTCGTGGGCCACGGACCCAATCCATGGTTTATCGCCGCCTCCCTGGCCGTCGCCACTCACAAGAGCCTCATATTTAAGGTTTCGATGGCTTTGTTTGCTTTGAATCAATGGCTGACATGAGTGTGACTTTCAGGTGATCCCCAAAACCGAGAGTCACTTCTTGCGAGGGATTTTGAAGTTTAATTTCTGGCATTTGGGTGATTGGCTCAAAGTGGTGGTCGACGACAAACTGCCCACTTTTGATGGACAACTGGTCTTCAGTCGTTGTCGTTCGCCACAAGTCTTTTGGGTGCCACTCCTCGAGAAGGCATTATATCCATACCCATCAGATCCATCACGGGATCTGTTTTGTGGAAATATATTCATTTTGTATTCAATTGTTTCATTCAAACCCAAGGCTTACGCAAAGCTTTACGGCTCTTATGAAGTGATGGCTTCTAATGGGTGTTTGACTTACGCTCTGATGGATATGACGGGCGCTACTGTCGAGACAATTGCACTTCAATGCGATGGCAAAGAACGGGAACAGTTCCGAATGATTAGCGAAGAACTGGACAAACATGCGATCATTTGTGTCAAAAGCAAAGTATGTCACAAAGAACTTGTTGTGTAATGGTTGCAAACTTTTGCTTATGATATTTGACTTTGTCTTCAGGAATCCATTCCTCAAAACACTTACGGATTACTCGATGACTGTATTTATGTCATCAAAAATATCAAGAAACCTTTGGGCGGAAGTTTTCGCAAGACTTTCTCCAAAGACAGCTCCAGAGACAGCGCTTCCATTCGTATTATGTGTACCATTGCCTCCAACCACAAGAAGAAGTATTATTTAGACATTAGTGTGAAATATATAATTAGTTTTCACTTAAAATACTATTTATTTGAAAAACTAGTTTCTCAACGAATTCACAAACAGAGCGTTTGCGAGACTTTTGGTATTAATTGATTAGAACTGAAAATAATGATCACATAAAACTCAATCTTTTTGTTCATTAGGATTTCAAATGAAGATTTTTGCAAATATTTTGAGTCCATAACTATATGCCGGACGTATACCAGAGACCGGGAGAGTGCGGTCACCGGGAACTCGAGCTCTCAATTCTGTTTCGATGTGTTGGACGAATGCACTGAAGTTATGATCGATTTAATGCAAAAGAATTTCAAACAATTCATTGGTTTGGGATTTAATTTATATAAAGTAGAAGTGAACAGAAATTTTAAGATTCATAACTTGAATCGAATTCCTATTGTTTTCACGTCTG